GTGGCAATCTCTTCAGAGAAGCTTATCCATCTTCAGCGATAAGTGGCAATCTCTTCAGAGAAGCTTATCCATCTTCAGCGATAAGTGGCAATCTCTTCAGAGAAGCTTATCCATCTTCAGTGATAAGTGGCAATCTCTTCAGAGAAGCTTATCCATCTTCAGCGATAAGTGGCAATCTCTTCAGAGAAGCTTATCCATCTTCGGCGATAAGTGGCAATCTCTTCAGAGAAGCTTATCCGTCTTCAGTGATAAGTGGCAATCTCTTCAGAGAAGCTTATCCATCTTCAGCGATAAGTGGCAATCTCTTCAGAGAAACATCCATCTTCAGTGATAAGTGGCAATCTCTTCAGAGAAGCTTATCCTCCTACATCCTTTTGGTATCGGGTTTGCTTTGTTTCGCTCCATCATCCTTCTGGTGATGGGTCTGACATCTTTTTTTTTTTTTTTGGTGTCATGACTAGCGTTTGTTCTCTATTAGCTCTTTGGTAATGGATCCCTTCTGTCTATCTTTTTCGCCTCCCCGTCGTTGCGCGATGCATTTTTCGAGTAGCGACAGCTGCATATGGAATTTTAAAAGCTTAATTCATCCTTTTGTCCCTTAAGTTAATTTATTGTTTACATTTAATCCCTTAATTCAAAAGCGTTACAATATAGTCCTTTAAGACACCTCTGTTAGCCTTATAAGTCCCTTCTGTTAAGTTCTATTGGAAAAACGTTAAAAATGCCTACGTGGCACAGTGAAATACTAATATGGCTTATTGTTATTGTTTTTAAAATTATTACTAAACTTATTTTAATGTAAAGTACGAAATATCAGTTTCTTTTTTAGAAACATAATTCCTAAACTTTTCACCTACCTGCAAAAGCACCATTATATATCAGTTCTGAACCCTAGTTCATAGTTCTACTCTCATTGTCTGAAACCCTAGTTGCTACGAAGAAGAAGAACTTGAAGTGACGAAGACGACAATAGTTAAAGCTATAAGTAAGACGATACTTATTAGATTTCACCATTGTTCATTTCCAGTCTAAGGTACGTTTATGCGCTTACTAGTTTAAAAAGCAAACCCTTAGCATTTTCTCCTACTTCGAAGACTCATTTCTGCATTATTTGGTGTGAATAGGTCATGAGTGGTAGGTTTGAGTGTGTTATCCATCATGGGGCTGTGTTTTTTGAGTTTAACAAATTAGGTTACAAGAGGTTAGAGGAGGTTTGAGAAATTGACCCTGATTTCTTGAGTTATTTTGAGGTTCTGGGTGGATTAAAGGATTTAGGGTACCCAAAAATGGAGAGTTTGTAGTATGTCGATGTAATGGATAATAATGAGCTATTTTTGTTGAAAGATGATGCAGGAACAAATAGAACGGAAATTATAACACTAATTAATGGGAATGTTCATCCGTATGTCATGCATCCAGTTTATGGGGAAGAGAAAATATTGTCTCTAGAAAACAGTATAGGGCCCAATGGGGTAGAACAAGACAATTTGGAAGATGACACCTTGGATGATTTGAATAACAGTGTAAATGGAACTTTTGATGATTTAGGGACTTTTTAATATTTGAATAATCTAGGTGACGAGTTTGATGAAGGAGGGACTAGAGGTGTAAAAGATACAACTGTAGTTGACCAAGAAGGTTCATTTGAGGATGTTAATTTGGATGGAATCACTGAGGGCATTGACCAAATAGATTCATGTCATGATATTAATTTGTAGGGGGGTATTGTGTCTGAGGATGCAATAGTGGATATTATTTTAGAGGAGGCCACATTCAAGGTGTGATACTTTGGTGAACAACATGTCAGAAGCATTCAACTCAATATTTGTAGCTGCAAGAGTCAAGCCTATTATGACTATGATTGAGGAGATAAGAGTGTACCTGATGCAAAGGTGGGAGTCCAATAGACAGAAGATTGTCAAGTTTGATGATAACATTCTACCAAATATCAAAAAGAAGCTGGAAAAGGAATCACAGAGAACAAACAGTTGAATTGTTAGGTAATGCTTCATACTTGTTTGAGACATTAAGAGATGACTTGATAGCAATGGTTAATAATGTTTCATAATTGTTTGTTGCATTTGTAACAGACGTACAGATGAGTTTGACTAGGAGGTTAGGCATATATCATTCAATGGAGAAAAGTTTGTTGTTAATCTATCAAAGCATGAATGTTCATGTAGAAAGTGGATGTTGACAGGGATGCCATGTTGTCATGTAATTTCATGCATGAAAGATCAGCATTTACAAGTTGATAATTGTGTTCCTGATTATTACAAAAAGGAGTATTATGAGGTTTGTTATGCACCGGTGATTTATCCAATTAATAGGAAATCTCTTTGGACAAAAATAGATGCTATTAACCTACAACCACCCCCCATAAAATGGAAATCTGGTAGACCCGAGAAGAAAAGAAACAAGGAGGTTGGAGAACAAGTGAGAAATGAGTCGCAGCTCAAAAGAGCAAAATTTGGTATCAAATGCAGTCGGTGCGATAAGGATGGTCACAACAAAGTCATTTGCAAGCTGCCTACAATTTCAACTTAACTAACACCAGCTGCTACTTCAACTCAGTTATCCCCAACTGCTACCTCAACTCAACCAACCCCAACTACTACCTTAACTCAACCAATCCCAATTGCTACTTCAATTCAGCCATCAGTCCCTGCTACTTCAAGCCGGCTAACACCAACTATATTTTCATCTCAGTCAACACCAACTGGAGATTCAAGTCAGCGGCCACCCAAAAAGAAAGGTGACTTCAAAAATGCCTAAAATATGTTCTTAGTCAACCCTAATAGTTATGCTTTGTTGTTTATGACTTATAGCCTATAATGTCACTTTTGTTGGTTATGTTATGTAACATATGGCTTACAATGCCTAATTTGTTGTTTATGACTTATGGCTTATAATGCCACTTCTGTTGATTTTGTTATGTAACATATGACTTACAATGCTTATTTTGTAGTTTATAACTTATGACTTATAATGTCACCTTTTGTTATGATTTATAATACAACATTTTATTATGACTTATAATGCAACTTCTGTTATGGTTATGTTACATTTCACTAATAAACTCATTACACAAAATTACATTTGTCCTTATATGTTCATTGGGCACAAAAAGTAACATCTCACTAATAACATCATGACAAATTCATTGCACTCATAGACTTATTACACAGTGGTGCATTTTTAAACCAAATGCAACCAACATAAATAACAATGTTGACAGATACACATGAAAGACAAATAAATTCATAGATTAATAAAATCTCAACCTAAAAATACATTGTTAGAAATACAACAATCAACACTAAGCTTAATATTCCAACCACAATTGACACCTTCAACCATCCTTTAGTCTGAATGATATGATTCTTCAATTTGTACTTTTTCTTCTTTTACCTTTGAATCTTCAAATCCTTTTCATCAACAATGTCGTTATCTAACAATTTAAAAAAATTGCAACCCTTATGTATATGATTTTTGTAATTTCTACTCTCCAAAAAAAAATCCAAAATTAACATTGTTCGTGTCACCCACGATACAAAGGACACATTCATCTTCGCAATAACACTTCTTCCTCTTGTTTCTACAAATAACTCACTCAATTGTTCCAATGGAAGCACTGCTTGACAACTTTGACATTAGAGAATATGAAGTTTAAAATCCTAGAAACAGATACAAAATGAAATGAATGTTCAACACAACCTTGATATTAATGCAGACAAAATAAACGATGAGATTGAGAAAGAAAGAAAATACAACAACACAGCCTGAATCAAATTCACACAAACACTTTCTAGAATCAAGTTTGAATATCAAGAATAAAATAATAGTCATGTTTGATACAAGTGATACTCTTAAATAATGTTTTTTTTAATCTTTTTATTGAGTCGTTATAAAGTTGACACGCCATGTTGGTAAATACTAACGTTTTCTCAACTAAATTACAGAAAGGGTCAATATTGCTAACAGAACTAATATTACTGGATCAAATGGTAACGTTTTTTCTATTAAGGGAATAAAACAGATTTTAAAATTCCCCTATAAGACTTTAGGACTAAGTATGTCTATCTTAAACATTCTCTCAATAGGAAGGTACCGAAATTAGAGTAGTCAACAGTGGCTCTATAGAAAAGCGGGGTGGAGGCCGACCCTCGGGAAGAGTCTTAACTCCCAAATCTGAAGCTCATCCAATATGCATATCCTCAACTCATTGCAGAATTAGAGGTCCTGAAATCGATGCTCATCGGATATGCATAACCTCAGCTCATCTTCATTTTTACTCTATGTGACATTACTCATGATGGAGGGATACATAAGTTATTCGAGAACCTGCCTAAAGGAAGAAAAATACCAGAGGACGTGGCCGTAAAGACTTTGTGAGCATAAGATAAACACAGAAGTTTTGAAGACAGCAAATTATTAGCAAAGTGTACAAATACTGTAATGTCCAACTATCTAAATGAAAGACTAGAAGTCATTCAATAAATGTTGAGGTAGGACATCAACCGATAGAATACTTACAGTGGTAAGTTTGGTGAAAATTGATCAAAAAAATTACAATTATTAACTTTTACAAGATTTCATGCACTTTATACTTTGAAATTGCAGAAGGTACATGTGAAATTTGCACATTCTACTAAGTATTTTAGTTTTGGTGTGAAGAATAACAAAGAAATTATGAATTTAATGAACAGCAATTTTCTCTTTAAAGATATTTTCTAGCAGTAATTTAAAGAAATTAAATCATTTAAGGCACAAAATTTACTTTCAACAAAAGTCAGAAAAAATCGAAAATAAATGAAAAGATAGATTCTTCCTAAATAAATTATAATTTAGCAAAATATAAAATAAATACGATAAAACAAAAACAAGATGTTTTCATTTATGTGTCGATCTCTTACATAACATAGCGAAGATCCAAATAGCATAGCTACAACATTAAAACTTTCGGCTACCTTAAAAGTTCCCTAATCCTAGGACGAAATTTAAGCCTTCTTTGGAGATTTGCCAGCCTTCTTGGATGGAGACTTGGGAGTACTAGCAGCAGCATTTTCACTCCTCTTAGGCAAAAGCACCGGGTTAATGTTGGGAAGAACACCACCATGAGCAATGGTAACACCAGCAAGCAATTTTCCAAGTTCTTCGTCGTTCCTCACAGCCAACAACAAATGTCTTGGGCTGATCCTATTCTTCTTGTTGTCACGTGCTGCATTCCCAGCCAACTCAAGAACCTTCACATACACAAAACTCAAAATTAGGGTTTAAAATTCAAAATTCTAGATTAAAAACAATTAAGAATGATTAATAGAGGGCAATTGAAAGTTACCTCAGCAGCAAGATATTCGAGAACTGCAGCCAGGTAAACAGGAGCTCCGGTACCAACACGTTGAGCATATCTACCTTTCTTCAAGAACCGACCGATTCTACTGACTGGAAATTGAAGTCCAGCTCTAACAGATCTGGTCACGGACTTCTTCCTTGGTCCTCCTCCTTTCCTTCCTCCGGCTCCCTTCTTTGTCTTTGTGCTTGCGTCCATTTCGAGATTTGAAAACTAGATTCTAGCAGAAAACTTTTCGGGTGATGTAGGGAAATATGAGAAATGAGAAATGAAAATGATACGATGATTTGAAATTGCGATGGGCAATGGTTTTATACAGGAAAGGACATTGAAATGATCTTGCATTGATAAAAGGGTACGCCGTTGGATTAAATTTATCTACGGCTCAGTATCACTTGGTTGGCAATCCGTGTCTCTGAAAACAAACCAATAGGAGACAAGAAACAGTGTGGAGTTTTAATTGAATTTGGATCTTGTAATAATGAGATACATTGACTCTAAAGGTATTTTTCCATTTTCAAAATTAATTTTGTTTAATAAAAATAATTTATTCAAAATAATAATTGTATAAATTTATATTAAATTTTAAAATTATTGAATAAATACTTGGTTCTTTAATGTTGCAATTATATGAGTTATACATTACATGAAAATAAAAGATTATTACACAACAATATGTGTTGCTAATTAAATCATTTTAAATTAATATAAAATAAATTTCAAAAAATCATTAATAAATATTTATGACTAGACCACTTATTTTGGAATTATAAATTCAAACAAAAATATGTGGGTTTTATCATTTATATAATATGCAAATAATCTATCAATTGATAAAATTCATTCTTAATAAATATTAAATATAGTATGATTCAATAATTATGTATGAAGTATCTCTATTATCAATAATAATTAGTGGGTGAGGGTAGTTCAATTAACATGCCCGAATGAATTCGTATGGTGGCATCTAGACTTAGATTTGGTGTGGTTATCGGAAGGTCGGATATGGCTCGGATAGAAGAAGCGCTTTTGTGACTATGTTGTGCGAAAGAAGCGGGAAATATCGAACTCCTCTCTAGAAATTTAAGAAAGAAGATACGAGTAATAGAAAATGTTCGTTTAAACTTTGTGGTTACATGTTGGCTAGCAAAAAATGGAGATTTAATGTCATTTGTGATGTGCATAACCTTGAATTGTGCTTAAAATTAACCGGAAATCCTAGTGTATGTCAACTCAAGCCGGAGGAGAAGGTGTGTATTAGTGACATGACCTTGAATCTTATCCAACCGAAAAATATACATGCAACATTGAAACGGAAGTAAACTAACAATATATCAAACATCAAGCAAGTGTATAAGATTTGGTACCTCACTGACAAAGCGATTAGGGGAGATAGAACTGAGATGCAACAACTGTTGAACTCTTGGACGATAACAGTTATATGTCCTGGTATCAAACTTGCGACGATGGAGTTATGGTTAGAGATATTTGTTGGACTCATCTGAATTCGATAAATTTGTTCAACACGTTTCCAACATTGCTCATATTTGACTCTACCTATAAGACCAAAAAGTATAGACTTCCATTATTTGAGATGGTTGGTGTTACCTCGACTGAGAAGACATACTCCGTTAGTTTTGCATTTTTAGAGTGTGAAAAAAAGGACAACATTACTTGAGCATTAGAGGTGTGTCGGTCACTTTTGAAGGATCAAGGTGAGATGCCTAAAGCTATTTTTACGAATCGCGGTACCTCTTTGATGAATGCGGTTGCAAAGGTGTTTCCTTTTTCTTATACATTACTTTCTAAGTATCACATGACAAAGAATGTGAGAAGTCGGGTTAAACTCGTGGTAGGGACGAAACAAGTAGAGTCTAAAGGTGGAAAATTGGTAAAGTCGGTGTGATTGAGGAGAAAATAATGAATGCATGAAATCACATAATAAATTATTTCACAAAAGAATTATATGTCGATTTCGTCATTCATTTCCGAAAAGTGTTTAAAAAATATCCGACTTTGTTGAAATATGTTGAAAGCACCATTCTTGATTAGGTGAAATATGTTAAAGGTGCTCGAATTAGCAAACCACCTATGACGTCACTTCCATCGAAGATTCCATTCATTGACAAGATGTTAATTTTTATGCACAAATATATCAATTGTATCGTCAATGTTGTGGGAGATGCTAATTGTGGTTACCGAGTCGTTTTGGATTTACTTGGTAAGGGAGAAGATAGTCACACACTAGTCCATCGTCAAGTTATCCAAGAGTTAAAGACGCATAAGGAATCATACACGCGGTTGTACGGAAAAAAAAAAAGAAAAATTTGACGTGGTTTATGAGTCACTTGTTCCTTGCTTTAGCAGTCCGGCACCGGAGTCAAAATGGATGGGCTTCCCGAATATGAGTCACCTAATTGCATATGCATATGATAGGGTGTGCATTGACCAGACACGCTACGAGTTTTCGAAAACATTTTTTCCACTATACACCGCACCACCCCAAAATCTGAATGATCGAATCATGTGTATTGGATGGCTTTCAAAATCAAGTCATTTTGTTCAAGTTTACTCGAAACTAAGATGACTCATACCACCTACATCACTGGAATGGACGACTAATACAACCGCAAATATCGAGACGTGGTCGGATCATTTTATAAAAAGGATGCAAGAATTCGATAGATTGAACAACATTAAAAAGGAATCGAATGCACAAAAGTCAAAGATGGTACTACATATTGATTTATCTGGTGACACGTGTTTTGATTCGTTTTGATTTTTTTTGTAATCGGACAAATAATTGTATATAAGTGTGTCTTAATATAAATGAAGTGTTACATATTCACTTATTATTCATATTATGTCTTTATGTATGTTTAGTTCATATTTGGTCGTTCTCAACTCTCTGTCATATAACTCTGTTTTGAAAATATATTAGGAAAAGTTCCAGAGATGCATCTCTGGAAGGTTCTTTTATTTGTTTTGTTTTTTAATGGTTCAGTGAAAGCTCTGGAGATGATCTTTGGAACAATATAATAGGGTGCGTTCTGGAGATATATATCCGGAGTATGAATAACAGTCAATGAGTGGTCCTTATTGAACTAGGTCTTTTATAAATTGGAGTGTTTTGTGTTATACTTCATACAAACTCAAAATGTCTCAAATGTGTGAAATAAACATCTGTTGATATGTCGCATGTGTCTCCTACTTCGTCTCCTCTACACCCAGGAGGACGTTCAAACTCACCAATCTCACCTCCCTCGACGATATCATAGACGAAATTTGTTATCGCATACCTTATAAAGATACACAAAAGGTTGTCAAGCTTGAGTACCATTCACCCTCGGTTGACAACGAAGGGTACATTGTGTTCAGAAATTTTGAGCTCAAGACTCGACCGGATGTTATGGCGATATGACGAACGTTTTTTGGTTTCGAAGAGAAAGTTTCGCTCGAATTGGAAGACACACTATGAAGATCGGTCAATGATATCTTGGAGATATGTGCAAGCATCCACCGAGATATTAAAATGTAGTATTTAATTTTCTGTTAAAATCATCATTGTGATGCTAATTTTATGTTATGACTGCTCATTTTATGTTTGGAAAGTTCATCTTGGGTTGTTTGTGTGTTTGGTTTTATTTCGGAAATATAACTACAGTATGGTTCCGGAGATATATCTCTGGAATAAATCTTTAGCAAATGCATGAGACGCCATCCAGAATGACCTTCTTTGAGTGTGAAAATGGTACGTCCGAAGATATATCTCCAGAAATTAGGGGTAGTATAAAAAATCTACACGGTGTCTAAGAAACACATAGGGTATAATAAGAAATTCACTTTATTTGCATATTATTGAGGCATATTTTAGCATGCACGCAAGACCCTAAAACAACCATGGTCTATAAAATATAGTGTATCACATATGTAGTAAATATTAAATATTGCTGGTGTAAATTCAAATAAGTCCAAATTAAAATTAATAATTTATTTTTAAAAATAAAAACCATAATCAGTCAAATATTCTTGAATATATTTAAATGTCATTTTATAAAAACTATTTAGATTAGATTTTATATTAATTTTTGAAAACCAACTCTAATTACATTCCCATATTTTGGTGCTATATATTTTTTCTATAAGAATGATATATCGTATTATTATTATTATAGTGATACATTCGTGAGGATCCACAAGGAGCGATGACATCGAGGGGATGTCATTTTCTAAGACGTGCATCACTCACACGCAAGGAGATGACATTGCTCGAGACAACCTCACTCGCCCAAAATAGAAAAGCGTGGGAAATGATGTGTTTTGGTCAGAGATGGTGCAGAAAGGGAGTCAAGGGAATAACACATGTCTCCATAAGAAATCATTCAACTGTCAACTACCATTACTAAAGTGGGTGGTTACTATTTTCGAGAAACTCTAAATCCAGACTCATAGGCCCCTATAAATATCTCAATCCGATGGTTGGGAACAGATGTTCTGAATTCATTATGACATACCCCCAAAATACAAAGTTTTTCACCCTCGTAACCTTGCTTTCTCACCTCACAAAAAATACCTTAAAACAGGGCTTCTCGCCACTGTGAGCTTTCCCTAACACCCAAAAACACTAAAGCCTTTTGCGTGCTCCTACCATTATAGGATTGTCATATATCTTTACTTTTTTTAGCAAGTACAGTGGTGTCTATCATGGGCCCCCGGTAAAACTGACTTGTGTAACACCCTAAATCCTGAAACTTAGTTGTAGTATTGTTTCAACTTTTCGACGTTCTATGTTCGAGATAATTCATCCCCGACGAGATTTTCTAGGTAGTAGGCCCCATTATCCATTTTTGCTCTAACGCGGTAGGGTCCCTCCCAGTTTGCGGCAAGCTTGCCCTCTCGAGAATATTTTTGATTCATCCTTAGGACGAGGTTGGCCACTTGGAATTCTCATCGGATGACCTTGGTGTTGTGCCTAATTGTGATTTTATGTTTGAGTGAGGCTTCGCGGAGGGCTGCCCCTGGCCGAACTTCTTCGACGAGGTCGAGTTCTTCCCTCAGAGCCTCGTTGTTTGTTTCTTCGTCCAAAGGTGCCCGTGCTTCTACACGTCTGGACGATATGTGGGTCTCGATGGGGATTACCTCCCCGTCTCGTATGAAAATTTATAATTTTTTTCATTTGTTCACCGGAAGACTTTTTG